TCAGTGTGGTTGGCCATAAGCAACAGTCCAGGTTTCGAAGCTCCTCAAATTATATGCATTAGTCAGCGAGTCAATGAATAAACGAGCAGGTTGGTCGCTGGCCGTCTTTCTCATGCCGTTCTCTGTATGTATTTGATGCCTACTGCAAAAATAATTATAGACGCTCCTCGACGTATGATTGGGTTACGTTCCGAAGAACTCATCGTAGGTTAGAAAAATCGTTAGTCGAATATAAATATTATAAATAAATAAATAACTACTGTCATTCACTGAATAAATACGAATAACTATTGCGACTAACCAAATGTCAGTAATTGAAAAGTTAACATTAATCGCTGGAAGCTGATGCCGAGGAGGAGGCCATGGCAACAGAGTCATCAATTTATTTTTTTGATGGTTTGTGTTAACGAGCATAGCTCAATGAAGGTATTAGGTCGACACTTTTTGACGGTTCAGGAACAGGAGCTTGCTTCTTCAAGAAGGTATCAACTTTTGACTGACAATTTACTACTTTTTCTTCATTATAAATTTCTTTATAGCAAGGAATAGCATCCTGTATTTGTCTTTCAGATTTTGCAAATATCTCATAATTATGATAATGTTGTTACCATATGATAATGCGCTAAACTCTGCATTAAATGTTACGCTCGTGATCGCTACAGAGACTGAGGGCGCACTGCTATCACATCACCGAAATATCACAAGTCGAACTACAGTAAAGTGAGGAACATCTGCACATTTTAAAGAGAAATTCAATGCAAACCTAACAACTCATGTTTCGCAAGCGACAAAGCATACAAATCAGTATTTTATAACAGAAAAACAAATATGATATGATCGAAGTCGATAATTTTTGCTGCCATCGTTGGCACAATTATTGCGTGTATCGCATTTACTGTTGCTAATTTCACCTGCAATTTACTGATGTATTTCGCTTGTAATGTTTATCAAATTAGGGGGATGGCACAGTTCTAAGAGGGAGACCTCACACTCTGAAGTTGCTAGGGTTAAATCCACAATAAAAGACGTTTCACATCAAAATCCTGTCTGGATACCTGATATCCATAGGCATACGAATAGTGGAATATCCCCAGGTGTCCAAGCAGGATTCTGTTCCGTAATGTCCATTGATGCGGTTTGTCATCCATGCACTCCAGGTGCTCAAATTCTTTGAAGACGTGATCTGCTTAAATGATTCTCTATGTCGCTAGAAGCAAGATGACGATGCCTCTAAACCGCGTAAATCCCGTAGTAACAAAAAATGATAAATGTCTCCCACTTTCAATTCTCCTTCAGCAAGGAACTATCCTGGCGTTGCATTGATGCAACCAGCCGAGGAACGAGTAGAAAGTCTCTGAAAACAGTAGGGACATCATGGCGTTCTGATGTAGTAATTATGAAATAGGCAAGATGTATGGCCATGTTGTCCGATGCAATACGTCTTTGCCCACCTGGTTGGCCAACCATGCAGTATGATGCTCACTATATGGCTTAAAGTTGGATAAACGTTGGACAGGTAAATGAGCGCCTATAACCTCTACTGTAGCTTTCGGTAAGGATGATATACTTGATGTACATTTCTCAGGGATGTACATGTGATCATGGTCAACGTGGACACATGCTGACAGCAGACAGTGCCGTATATGCTTTTCGTCAGATCAAATATTTCCGGCTCCTCTAACCAGCTTATGGCAACCAGATGTGGGGCAGAGCTACGATTTTGCCCAACTTCGATCAGCTAGTGTAAAAGAGAAATTTCAAATGACTACTGATATTCATTTATACCGAAAGTTTTACTGATTGAAAGGAATCCTCAAGAGAACCCAGTTTTTGGCATACATTTGAAAAGAGTGTGCGGGGGAAATCAAAACTGCCAACGAAACCCCTGAATTAACTTCAAATCTAAAGTGAAGTTATATTGCTTGAATGTCCCAGAAGGTACACGACAAGAATGTCCATCGCCTTTAGTGGTTGAGCAATAAAAATATTGAGAAAAAACGCATTTCGAAAAATGCATTTCATAGAAATAGGTAAGAAAAAAGTGTAAGGCGCAACATTCGTTTCCTGAATGTTTTACTCTATGACCTGATGTTGTGCTATGACCAAAGGACCGGCGGTGTTTGACTCTATGGTGCCGGGCATCGCTGACAAATGGAAGATGGCAAATTCAGCGCTTGAACGGTACATTCAGGATTCTCAAGCGAACCATCAGGAACCGGAAATGCGATATGAGGCCAAAGAGGATGCGATGAGGAGTGAGAAAAATGCGCCAGCTGTCGTGACATCCGCTCGAATCACTGTTACACAAGGTCGGCAGACCGACAGCACGGTTGTTGCACTAAAAATAAAACGATACCCATTTCGATAATCAGTTTCTTTGGACCAATTTCGTAATAGAATTCTTCCACCTCTTTCTCTCTCGTCAGCTTTACTTGTGGAAGCATAGGCTTTAACTACCTCTTGATGATTCCACACAGCAGGAGGCAATTTTTGGGGACAAGCTGTTGACGACTACAAACTCGATGGCTGCTCTGCTCTGCTCTTCCCGCCATCTCCTCTCAATGGCCAAATCGAACTACCGTCTTTCCAGATGCCATTCATGTCCTTTCGCCGTTGTGTTTCACAGAAGTCAAGCATCCCAGAGTTCATCCCTGATATTTCCTCTATTAGCTGATTTAACGTTTCTTCAGTCGCAAGCGTCATACAACTCTAGGTGGAAACGACGAGGAAGTTCAAGTCCGTTTGTCAGACATCGACGTTTCACCTGGAATCCATAGCGACCTCCAATCGGTTCAACACCGAACCGCCATCATGGAATGAATCGAGAGGTCTCGAGAAAACTGAAGATCATTTATTCGTGTTGTCATAGCGCATTACAAGCTTTGCCACCTACTGGCAGGGCTGACGGTAGCTTGGGGAGTTTCGCATAAGTGAATACCTGAATCCCGTCAAGTATTGTTTTATGAAAGTTGTTTTTTGTAGCCTTTAATGAACCGTTTCTTAACCACAAGGTAGCGATGACATTGGTGATCTTTACAAAGGGGCGGGTCCCATTTGTCTCAACCTGAGACTGTCATTGGGCACTGTGACTTTTTCTCTGAAGGTCGAACTTGTCGAGCTCGAGCTCACAAGAGTGGTCTCATAGCTACCTGTTCAACTTATATATCGCAGCTAACCTCCATATCATAGCAGTCATATCATGAGGAGTACCATCTCACAAAAACATCGTTCATACTGAATACGAGGTAGCTCTCGTGAAAAAAATGATGCGTGATGTATATGAGGTGTCCAAATACAATGGAGTCCTGTTTAAATGGCTTCTTTTGGCAACCATGAGTAAGGGAGAGATACAGAACATCGCGAAATATTTCAGCACAGAGAAATATTTCGAGGTTAAATAATATGGACAAAATATAACACATGTATGCTGCAATTAACAGAACCATTTGACATTAAGGACCCCCCCCCCCAATGCTGCCTTACTCAGTTACAGTTGCGGAGGAAACATAAGACATTTTCAGAAAAGTTTTCTCCAGGTGTAAGTATAACATATAGAAATCTGTTAGATGTGATGGGATAAAGGCACTGCGCTAAGTCATTGTGCATGGAATAAGGACAGTTGCTAAGTTCTTTTTCTTGTGAAGACTTTGTGCCATTCCTGCATCAACAACATATGATGTAAAGTACTGAAACGACGTTACCTAATTATCTAATGTCTTCAAATCATATGCCAATGGCTCAACAATGACTTTAGTTGTCCCAGTGATGAAAAGCCATATTACATGTCTAAAAACGAGTTGTCGCTTTTTGGACGCGAAAGAACCTCCCTATACCTTGTCATGCAAAATCATGTCCTGCAGCACCTATTAGTTAGTTCCTGAATATTACGATGTGTGTTGAGAACATCACCTTGAGCCGATTGCATTATCATAACGTTTCTCGATTGTACTGCTTACTGTATTCTGAGCTTTTCAACCATATTTATAGCTATAGGGCATCGGTTACTATATCCTAGAAGAAAACATTTTTGAAAACAGATCTGCCTTCATTTTGCTTCTCCGCATTGCACGCTGACCTCTTCGTTGTCTGCCGTGTTTTGGTTCCCACACGAGAAGCTCAAGGATGGGAGTAAATGCTTTACGCTCAACCGGTTTCCCTAGCAGCGCCAATCTTCTTCTGTGTATCTCCACACCTACTGCGGTCACCCGTGCTCTGAAGAGAATAAAATCATTGCGAAAGTGGTGTAGCAATTTATTCCTCATCTTGCGTGAAAGCCAACGCAGCTGTCCGTAGTTCAACCGACGCTCTTTGTCTTTCATTAGACGAATTGTTGCTACCACATCCAACTTAGTTAAAGCCTTATATATGTTTAATATTGTTGCATTTGAAGATTATTTTCAATTCTATGGGCTGCTACATGAGAGAGTGAATGGCTTATTTATTTTGGGGACCAGAATCTCGATCGACATAAAATAGGTGAATGCCTGAGCAGAGTCTGATATCAAAACATTTTCCTGATTTCGCTCACGCTTCCGGCCTTCGCATGTTATATTTTCACATCTGATCACTCAAAACGTATCTTGCATTTACTGGAAACTTAATTTTTTGACTGCGCTTGAGAAATTCTCTAAGTCACTTTCCTCTGATGGATGCAACACGTCAGAGCAAAGGAATCGCAAAACCTCCTATCCTTGAAGCAGACTGCACCACTGAACATAAGCAAATAATTGATCGATCGCCTAGGTTGAGTTTCGTGCGCAAGCCGATGCAAGGAATTTTACGGTAAAACGACGCTTGACATTTATTTCTTTTTTATTTAATTTAAATGCGCTCAATGGCATTCGTAAACGGTTAACTTCGTCTTCGCAGGAATCGCTCAAAATCTTGGTAAAGCTGCTACGCGATATAAACGGTGCCATGTAGCTCGCCTTTCCTACGCAGAACCGCTCGATTCTCACTAAGCCTAAAGTCGATTAATGATTACCCTCCCTATGCGACACTCTGCTCATTAAGGCTTGCTCATCGAAAATACACTTTAGCACACTGTACTATTTAATACGACCGTCGAAGGACTAGACTCTAGAAAAGACAAGCAAAACGGACGGTTTAGATTCTTTGCATGTTCGACCTGCTTCATCTTCATCACAGAAGTTATGATAGAGCATCACACTTACTTTTATGACGATAGCTACGAGTGTCATATTATTGAAGACAAGGCAGCTATGCGCTAAACACGTAGTAAAGTTCCTGATTCTCTTCCGGCCATGGTGATCGATCCAAGTCACATTTGATTGACAAATATTAATAAAAATTTGGCCGTTTCAAAATCCAGATGGATCAGAGCTTGCGAGACCGTTTGTCAAGGAGAAATCTTATCGCCCAGGCTTTTTATACCACGTCTCGAGTCAGTTTTCTGCAAAATTAATTGCAACAGAATTTTCAATCAACGGCAAACGGCTCACTTATCTTCGGTTTGCTGAACGACAGAGTGCCGCTGGTGACGAAAGGGAAAAAAGTTCTATCCATAGCATCTGAGCTAGAGTTAAAGAACAAGCATTTTAACTTCGGATACACACGTTAACGAAAACGATTACGAGTAACCAACTCGTGTGACTTACGACAGTGGCCATCAGTGATTACTGAATGCAAGTCTCTGCATGCGTCATGGGGCTATATATCGCTTGCCTTAGTCCAAATCTCGATACAAAGTTATGACAGCTTAAATCACGTACAGAAGAAATGATTCTCTTGAAAACGGAAATACAAATCAGTAGCATGAGAATGATAGGTGAAACGATTTCATATAATAATTATGTAACATAGGCTGGCATGGATTATTTCAGTCATTAAGAATTCTTTATTTATGATATGATGGTATTATACTGTAATAACAATGACAAACGGTATCATCTCTTCGGAAAAATAAAACAAAATAAAAAATTTCGACCAAGTCACTATGCTTGATTTTCATGTTTTGACTATCCAAGTGACAAGAGCAATGTTCATTATATAGATATTATCAATCCACTTTTACACTTGTATCGCCCCAAAATCATCGCTTTTTTCCAATATACGACCGCATGGTGAAAAGTAGTTTTCACAGTCCCTTCTTCGGGCGGTTGATGACTTCTTACTCCCTTGCAAAGGCCACAGTTGTAAATTTTGCATGGATGTGAAAAGCAAAAAAATCTGGCAAAAGCATTATCATCAGTATTTACTCGAGCAGGAACTTGTTCTGTAGTTCCATTCGACGCCGTATTATAATAATATTAATGAATATCTTCATCTGCTATGCAAATATGACCGTACGGAGAAACGAACGTGCATTGCTCATGCAATGCTCAGTGTAGCGCTTACTTTCGCGAGGTAGTACACTATGTAAATTAGTTCTCTGGGTATTGAAAGAATGGATTGCCTTGCTATGATTTGAAAAGTTATTCTTTGCATCAGTGCAGAATATATTTATATTCGAAAACTTCTTTCTGAGTCGTCATAAATATGTATAATTTTGCTCTTAAGTGCTTGAAATTCGATGCCTAGTTGTTCAACGTTTACCAACAAATGAAATATGGCTTGCGATCGAATGAAGTCTTAAAAGGATCGACACTGATGACACCGTCAGTTTGATTGACAGGCAACTGTCGACAACGAATTACGTCTTACTTAAACTAACGTTGACTAGATTAATAGTTTGACCATATTATAGCAATGGCTCATGAACGTCACATGCTTAATTTAAACCAACATAAGGCTTACTGAGTCATGCAATATGCAGAAAGTCAATCACTTATGATGCAATATATGTCCTTCAATTATTCTAGTGATAACCGGTCTTTCTTGTACGAAAGTTTGGCTTGGCAAAGGCTTTCTTCATCTATCCATTCATCCTCCACCGATTTTCACAAATCGCTTTTTCTTTGGATTATTTCAGAAGGCTTTCCGTTTTTGGTCCAACTCCTTTTGCAAAAAGTACAATTCTATGAATCGTATTCCAAGTGCGGCAACTTGGTAATTCACTGGTCTTCAAATTTTCGACCTGATGGAACCATATTATTTCGCATAGAGCGTTTACGTTGCGACATTTCTTTAAAGTTCAGATTTGCTGAACCACTTATTGTCTTCAGGGGTTCTACTTCTGATCCCTTAGCAAAATTATCTCTATTTTAGCATCAAGCTCACTAGACAGTATGATTCTCTGATATAATAAAGTAAACGAGGTGATGAAAAGTTTCCTAATTTAAAGATTTCATGATGTTGCTTTTTTTACGGGTGAGGAAAGTGGCGGGAGGGGAGTAAATATAAGCTGTTGGCCGGTGTAATTCGACTGTCATGATTTTTTTGGGTTAGACTATTTTTATCCTGGAGAAACTTGCTTTATAACAATGAACAATCTCCTCAGCACCTTCGCTACCATAATTCAACTTCTGAAGAGTCCACAACAAATCTCAGAGATTACGCATGATACACTTCCCTACTTCGGTGAGGCATGTCAGCATCTACTTCGGTTACTGCGTTCCGTACATTGCGTAGATATTTATATCAGCATTAAAAACAGTTGAGTACTATCGCATTATTGTTAGTTGTCGAATGGGACCACAAAGGATCCAGCGAGTGTGTTCATTTGCAAGGAATCTAATTTTAATATACTATAGAATACGTAAATTTAAGCGAGCGAGGCTATCGACAGTAATGGAACGCTTCTTCACTCGATAAAATCAAGAGGAACGTGAGTGCAAGCTGATCTGATTAGCTGTGATGAGGATTAAAATAGAAATCTCTAATCGAAATCCCTGAAATCCGTTTGAGCGGGAAGTACTCAC